GCGCGAATTGATTTCATTTTCTAGATAGTCCATTTCCATCATGCCTAAGAGCAGACTTCTGTTCAGTTTAAGTAATAGATAAAACGTTTTCGGCTGTGGTATATGGAAACGGCGTGGTGATTTTAATATTCAATAAAAACTGAAACAATCGTGTTAAACAAGGCTAATCCAGCTAGTAGATGCACGTCCAAGCTTTATGTAATCGTCGGAAGGCAGCAAACTCCAGAAGTACAGGAATGTAGCAAAACGATAAGCAAACTGCTCGTGATTTAAAACCTGCCTCCAATACATATTAGTGTCTACACCCATACACTGAATGTTATCACTCCTTTGAACTGCCCGACATTTCATGCATTTTACCTGGTATTTTTAAACGCGGTATATTTAGTGATGCATAATTCAAAGAAGTAATTTTGCTTTCAGATATCGACGGTGGCAACGTTAACAGTCGAAACACGCACAAAACTCACAACCTAAGGGCAACACTAGGCATTTTTAGAAAAATGCTTAATTTAATTTTGCGAACAAGATCGGCAAATAAATGTTTCATGAAAATGGAAAATTTGCCTCCACTCACTGCTCACCAGGTCTAGGCTTATTTAAGGTGCTGGAAATAGTTTTTTTAAAGAATGCGTCTGCATTTTGATGTATATTCATACGAGGACGACATAAAATTACTTAAAGTCCTTCGGTCTAATGAATCAAACCTAACTTGCATGCAAAAGATGAATGTTGGGAACAAAAAGCCCAAAGGAGTATAAAAAATGAGCATTAACAGCGCAAACACCACTTATTGGAAACGTTTGAAAACAAGGCTGCTTGACTTGCCTAATGTGTTTTTGGGCGTAATATGCATTAGCTGTGTCATCTCATGAAATTTCGACAGATATTCTGAAATGTGTTTTTTACCCAAAATGATTGGAGTTACCAGAATTTGCATAAAGTAGTTCAGAAAACCATTTGCGTAAATGCGAGTGCCTTTGGTAAATCCTCATCGGACCATTACACTTCTGTGGGAACGGAGGACAACGTAAACTGTGAGATCGATAAGCAAAGTCGATTACATTTCTTCTTTTCATACAAGCGGAGCGCATGAAGAGACAGGTAGGCGTAGACAGTAAGTATCAGTGAGAATTTCGTAGGGCTGTATCGCATGAGGAGGTGTAACGGAGCGTGGAAACTTGCATACCGGTAGTCGACCTTTAGGTACGGGGGGGGGCCAGGAGCGTGCAGGCGGTTCTTGCCCCCGCACGGGACTGGCCTCTGTAGCCTGGTATCAGCCACTTCAGCTGTTGCCAGTAAGCGCTGCCCACTGGCTTAGGGTAGTTACGTGTGACCGTGTAAATCGCACGGAAGTCTTCGATGGGAGCTGCACGACGGCCTATTTGCTCCTAATATTACCTTCCCTTAACCCTCCTGACACCCGTTCCGCACGGTTTGAATTTTGAGTCGCAAGACGGAAGTTTTTCAATCGAGTCGCTTCACTTAAAACGACTGTCGTTCACCAAAAAGTGGATTATAAAACGCCTTTCTGACAACGATTCTCCAGCTATCTCCATCGATACTCATATCGTTCGATCAGGACAAACTTCAGCAGAAACGGTCTTTCTGTCGGAAATCTCGGCTTGTCTACAGGGCCTACCCATCCAATACACCGTCTCCAATTGCTCACAGAAGTTAGGAGCAACATCTTCGAAAAGGCTGAGTGGATATTTCTACACTGCTTGCTGTGCTGCATAAATTCGGACAACTCGAGTTGTCTCACTTTACCATAGATTTACCTGAAAAAAGCGTTCCCTGGAAATTTTCGGCGTATCCAGCATAGGCATAGTCACTGCCCACAGTTGTGCCTTAGTAAATAGCTTCTTATTCCTGCAGATTTGTCCGTTTTTCATAAGTCCACTACATAATGACGATTTGCGCAGCCACCCAAAATAATGCGCTGCATGACGGAGTCGAACCACCGACCATCGACATTTCAGTCGCGGACGCTAATCCTTCGGCCACCGCAGCACGACGACGGGCGATGTCGCAAAATTTACTTGATAGTAAATGCGTGCCGCATACCGATCGATTTTGCAGTGGATGCGAGATATTGGCCGGCAAAATCAACTGCCTTGAGGAAGAGATGGAAAAGATGAAAACTCTTCTACAATGTAAACTAGACACACTTGACGATGCGAATGTACCTGTTGGACGAATAACTAGAAGTAGGGCCAAAAGACGTCGCACAAAAAATACGCCATCAACACCTTCTGCAGCTGTCACGGCACACCCAGCACAAACACATAAAATACAGGACGACAACAACCAGCGAAGCAACGATAAAAAACCAGAGGAAAAAAAGAAATCGTGCAGCAAAACGGTCGAAGGACATGAACAGCAGATTCGGAGGAATGCCTCCGAAGAACCGGAACCAGGGACGTCGGCGTCCGTGTCGCCCATCACGGGAAACGACATGGGTCCTAAAACCCTTAACCTATCGCAAAAAAACTTCCGACTTTGATGAAAATGCAACCAAAACAGAGACGAATGAGGATCTTAATCGACTACAGCTTATATCCTTGTCAGATCATGGCAACCACATATTGCCTATGTCGGAGCACGAAACCACTGTGTCCTCGAGAGTGTAGCCGGTCAGAGGACAATGTCTGATTATTCAGGGACTTCCCGAATCCACAGCTAGTGCCTCCAAAGTGTGGGTCTCGGCAGACCTGCAACTCTTCCAATGCCTACTCAACGAACTTCTGCGTCCCAATGAGGAAGTTTCGGTTCTCAAGGCCTTAAGGCTTGGAAAGCGATCAATCGACATTTCAGAGCATTCACGTCCCCGACCACTCAAGATTATATTAGCCAACCAAAAACAAGTAGGACTTATTCTCTCACGACGATTCTGAATCAAAGACACCAACTGCGGCGTTTTTTCGGCCGGACTACACACCGTCAGATAGAATAAAGCTTCGACAATTAGTTCTGGAACTGAGAACAAGGTTGCAGAATGGCGAGACGGATCTCGTGATCTACAATGACCAGATAGTGCAGCGCCCTCCTCTATTCCGTTGGACCGAACCGATCCGGATGAGGGAACAATAGCTTTCTTAAATGGGATCTCAAGCGGCACCATAATAAAACGCCCCAATACTCTGAAACTAACATTTTTTACACCAACGTGCAGAGTATATTGCCTAAGTTAGACGAACTAAAGATCCACATCTGTGACCGTTCCCCTGACGTTGTCTCTTTGACAGAAACCTGGCTGTCTTAAAACATGGATGACCGCGAATTAATGCTACCAGGATTTCAGTTGTTTCGGAGAGACAGAAGAGAGCGTCAGGAGGAGGAGTCGTCACGTACGCAAAACACGGCCTGCTTGTGTCAGAAAAAACAGAACAGTTTGCATGCAGCACCGAGACTATCTGACTCACTATAAGGGTACCAGTATCACATAGCCTTGAAGTTCTGACCGTCTGTCGTCCACCGAGGAGTGACCCCGAGGCTGATGTTTGTCTGTTAGAGGAGCTAGGACGATTTGCTCTCCGGGCTGACGTCCTGATCATGGGCGACCTTAATGCACCGCTCATTGACTAGAGTTCACTATAAGCGCGCGGCCCAGAACTAGCTTTCGGCCGACGCTTCTTGGACATGGCACTCAGGTTATTTCTCACACAGCACTTCCTATTTCCCACGAGGGTCTGTGAGGGGCAGCAGTCAAACTGTTTGGACCTGGTGCTCACGAAATCGATTGGACAGCATAGATGAGGTACAATGTCTGCCTCCCTTAGGTCGAAGCGATCACGTTGTACTTCAATGGGACTATTCAATCTTTTCCGTGCTTGAACAGCCCAACAAAATTAAAAGAAATATTTGGCATGGGGACCTCGATCAAATGAAGGCCGAAGTCAACAATACGGACTGGGAATCAGCGTTTTTCGGAAATATATCGGAGGATTAGAAATGAGTCAGCGATTTATTGCATGTTCTCCTGACAAACCACTGCCCGCTTTCACGGAAGGGGTTAAACAATCGACCCCGGTGGCTCACCCAGGCGTTAAAAAAGTAAATAAATTAAAAACGGAGATTGTGGCAGAAATATCTTACTGATGGGACTCCTGTATCCATAAACGCATACAAAACACAGAGGAACTAAGTCAAGCGACTTATCCTTAGGAAACGACAAAATTGTGAAAAAGAACTATTAAATAGTGCTATGGAAAATCCAAAATTATTCTACAGCTACATAAGAAGCAGCGCACGAAATAGAGATCCAATCCCCCTTCTGAAGGCAAGCGGAGGCGTAGAGATTAGTAAAGATGGAGAAGAAGCTGAGCACTTTCCACATTTTTTTAAATCCAGCTTTACTAGTGAAAGCGCATTTACTTCTCCCGACTACGACTTCGATGATGGTCCAAAATTGAGTCTGTATCTTTTGATGAAGCGACGGTTCGCAAAGAGCTAATGACGCTAAATGAGTCGAAATCACCAGGTCCAGACTGCATACCGCCTAAGTTAGTGAAGGCGCTCGCTGCCGAACTAGCCAAACCATTGTCCATGCTTTTTCAAGCCTCCTTCGAAGCCGGATGCTTGCCCGCCGACTGGAAATCTGCGCGGATCACACCACTGCATAAAAGAGGCAGCAAGGCCTCTGCAAACAATTACAGGCCAATTAACCTCACCTCCATCTGCTACAAACTCATGGAGAAAATCATCTAGCGAGAGCTGATGCGCTTCCTAAAGCAGCATAATTTATTATCTGATGCGCAGCATGGGTTTCGTAGTGGCAGGTCTTGCTCAACTGTTTGGAAAGTTGGACTCGGTCAGTTGATGAAGGCAATGCGCTGCATGTAGTTTATATCGACTTTAAAAAGGTATTTGACGGTGTCCCACATAAGCGACTACTGCACAAACTGAGCCGAACAGGCTTTAGGGGTAACCTCTTAAAATGGATTCAAAGCTTCCTATTAGACCATTGTCAAACTGTCCATGTCGGTGTCAAGCAGTCTATGGAGGTTGCCGTTGAAAGCGGTGTTCCCCAATGCTCAGTTCTTGGTCCTACTTTGTTCATCATTTACGTCAACGATTGCGTGAGTGGACTGGATTGTGGTGTCACCATGTTTGCGGATAACATTAAAATCTGGAGCGTCATTCGAACTGCAGATGACGAGGAGCATTTGCAGGCGAACCTAAACCGACTCCACCAGTGGTCAAAGACCTGGCTTCTGCCGTTCAAGGAGAAAAAGTGCAATATTCTACGAGTCGGCAGAGCTCGCTCTCCGAACCATATGGCCTACTCCCTAAATGGTATACCACTGCCAGAAGTGGACTCGCAGAAGGACTTGGTAGTGTGGATTACGACCTCGCTCAAACCCTCTCTGCACTACACGAAGTCTGCAATGTCAGTCCTCTACTTTGTCAAGCGGGCTTTCTCCGACGTTGATGAAGACTGCTTCGCTAAAGTCTTCCGAACGTTTGTGCGTCCGCAACTAGAATTTGCTATCCAAGCTTGCAGACCCTGGACCGCGAAGGACCTCAGCATCCCTGAAAGGGTTCAAAGGCGTGCAACGAAACTTGTGGCAGGACAGGGTTCACTACCATTTGCAACCGGTTAGCTAACCTTGATCTCTTTCCCTTGAATTACAGGCAGTTACGGGATGACCTGATACAAGCCTTCCGTATCATACGCGGTCAGGACTGCAGCCTCGTACCGGGTGACTTCTTCGAGTTAGCAACCACCACAAATCTACGAGGCCATCCGTTCAAACTACGTGTGACAGGGGCCAGACTGGACACACGAAAGTTCTTCTTCTCCAACAGAGTGGTAGAAGCCTGGAATGCCCTGCCTTGATGTGGTTATGTCTACTTCCGTCGAGGTCTTTAAGAGGAAGCTGGATTTGTATAGCAGTGTTCACTAAATTAACACCCACCTCTGTAACCTCGACAAATTCCGTTGTTATAATACTACTTGTTATATTTCAGTAACATATTACATTGAATTTCTTATTGTCCCAACCCATCGCCTACGCTTATTGACATGCACCTATGCAAATTTTGTCACTGGATATATTATTTATTTCGCTGCACTAGAAACGACCGCTCTACTACTGCTCGTACCACTAAAATTCGAGACAGTTTGCTTGTCTGTACAGACCTGACGCTTTTCCTTTATGATACCTTTTCGAGTTTTTGAGGTTTTGCGGTTGCTTGTAAAGAGATAGGGAGTTTGAAGGTGAAGACCTACATTTCCCTCAATAAACTGGAAAAAAAATTTGCCGAGCGAACAGTTTTATGGAATTTTAATCAGTAATTTTCCCTGAAACAAAACCGAGTAATGCATGTTGCTGGTGACATCTACCTTTTTTCGATACGAGTCGTGGCTCTCTGGAGCGCTTTTATTTTTTCTGACTAAAATTAGACGCGAAATTTTACACTTCAGAAACGCTGTTGTTTTAAGATAATCATCTTAGGACTTGCATCTTTCTACAGCATCTCACTGCAGACCAATGTGCTCCGCTCGGATATCGGCTCCCGGCACTTCTTCAGGAAATGCCCCTATTTCCTCAATTTCAATAAAATTTCTAATTTCTAGAGGACTTCTCCATTAGGCTGTTGGCCTTCGTGGAGCATGGTGTTCTGTCCGGTTTTCTAGCCATGATTGTAATTTAAAAACAAATGTACATATAATCCTTTTATGCAACTGAATATTAATCGGTGGAGGCATTGCAATTGACTTTCTGTCAATGTACCTGCTTCTTTCTTTTTCCCGCCTCATACTACAGTGGCAGTTTCTACGGATGAGATGCGAACAGAGCCGAATACCGCGGACTTTATTGTCAACCGATAACTGTACCCTGTAAAAGTAAACATATCCACACCTACAACGAACAAACATATGTCTTTCTCAATGCCTAAGCCCGCTTTTTAAAGCTTAGGACACAACTGTTGCATTTCTGAAAGGTCTGAATATATATATATATATATATATATATATATATACATTTATTTGCGTGGCTTTTAAATCTATGCACCGATGGATGCAGATATCTTCGAAGTGAATGACATTTAGAAATTCTCGACCTTCCATATACGGACAGGAACGAATGTTGCGTTCTCTCCGAGGATTTATGCATCAATCGGCGTATGGATTTGAACGCCCTGTACATATATAGCAGAGGAAAGTAGAGAAGGTCAAAGCCTATCGAAACGTCAGCTTACAGCATCAGGCCATCCTCAGTACTGAGAATGAAATATGTATCCTCCGGAAATGTTTAAACTTTAACTATTTGCCACAATTGCTTAATGTCTGACGACGAACAGGGAAACCAGCGTAGAAAATTTACGAAAAAACGTTTGTTCAATTTCCCAAAGGACTCATTTTTCTTCGAATTATTTTTACATCAACACACTTAACTGTAATTCAAATTCACTCCTCTGGTCCTGTACGCACTTGATGATTGCACACCAAGTCTCACAACCTTGGTCTCTAGCATATGAAGCTTTAAAAAATGATGTGCAAGGCTGCAAATATTTTTAGTTATGACCCGTTTGGTCCGCACTCAAATTGACCTGAATAGAGGAAGGAATTGGTCAGTAAATACAAATTTCAGATAGGTTTGCTATATGCTGCGATGTGAAGAGTAGCCGTCCATGGATTAAAGCCGTTGCAGTCTGAGCTGTGATTCTTCTCCATCTTCGCCCGTGTCCGCGAGGTCACATATACGGCTTCCAGAATTTCTAGTCTGCAATATTCCTCAGTAGTATATTGGTAAATCAGCAAAAAAATCAGCAGTATTCTTAAGAGGACTCTTTTTTGACTAGACTTCTACGACCTATTTTTGATTCTCGAAAGTCAGACAAAAAACCAACCTCAACGTCAGCTCTACTAGACAGCAACCGGCATTTTTCTTTGGGGCTTTCTGAACAATTGATGAGTAGAAAAACGGAAATCAATCCAGTCATTTAAACATTTAACTCGATGTAAAATTGCAATCAATAAAGACGTACATTTTCATAAGGGCAACGGAAAGTGTCTTGAATGAAACTGCGATTGGGAAATGGAAATGGGAACAAATATGTGCTGACGTTCTTCTTATGCAGTTGCAAGTTATAAAATTTAAACGGTGAAAATGACAAAGTAGGAGGACCTGCTAGCAACCCATATATCGTTTGTTTTTTACGTGTTTTGATGGTACAAACGGTAATATACGCAAAATACCTTTTCAAAATCCGTCCTATCGTAAATACACTTTAAAGATTTTATGATTGGAAGATGAACCATTCATAATTATTTAACTCGTGAACAATTTAAATTACTCTGCATTCTTAAGCGCTCAATATTCAGCATAGACCAAATTATCTACGAAAAAATATTTGCAAATGGACATCAATTCACGGCTTTCAATGATTGCCGAAGCATGTGGTGTCTGTCTGCATCCATAATAATCTACGCCTAGCCGTACCCTCTGGCAACACGTGAGTTTATGCAGAATGGGACCAATTGCTTAGTTAAATGTATATAAATTACGGTTTCTTTCACTAGCATTCTGCTTAAAAAGCATGTCGGGTAAATACGTCGTCTTGACGTCGATGGTTTTGATGTTGTTGTATGCAGGCAGTGGCATCACAAATATTCTGTGTAAGTAATTTTTTAAACAACGTCGCATGTGTTTGTTTATATTTGCTTCCTAATTTAAAACTAACGGACCGAGTTTTTCATACCGCAAATAAACAATTTCATGTTCAAAGTATTTGCCATAAAACAGCAATGAGAAAAGCAGAAATCGTGCATGCATGCAGTGAAAATCTATAAAATGGGAATCACCGTCCTTGCTGCGCGACTTATGGGATGCCGTGTTGTTTGAATCAGCATAACGAAAAGTTGGGCTGCTCTTCACGCGGTGTCTAATCAAGCAGAAAACGGTTGCTCAAACGAATTGATGTCCTATAGGTTTTAGCTATCAGGCGGCGCCGTACTGATTCATTTAATTTTATTTTTATTATACAAAACAAGACACATTTGCAACAATATCACAATTAACATTGTTTAATGTATGTCGGCGAACTAACCAGTACATGTACGCAGACGCATGCATGTAAAAAACCTACATAGCATTTGTAAGTTGTGTGATCATATGTGATTAATCTCGGGCTTTTAAATGCTTAATACTGCAAATGTAACTGGTAAGTAGGAAGCGGGATAAAAACCTACTTTGATCAGGTATAATGTGCACTTTAGGAGCAAACAACATCGGTGGGCAGCGATCGCCCTTCTGCAACCACCCTGGTACTGAAAAAAGACTTGCGTTCGCCAATGCCAGCTGTCCCCGTTCATAATTTCCTGATTAGAACACAAACATGCGGGCATTTTAGCCTGACGAAGAAATCGCTTACAACTAAAAAACAGACCAGGCTACAAAAATTGCTCAAATTGAATGTAGTACACCTTTGTACCTGCCGGTAGAAAAGGAAGACGACCTAGATAACGGATCATGGGGCAATGGTCATGTTCATTTGTCCGTTGCTGCGATCCATTCTTGCAGATGTAGCTTGCAAATGCGATGGTCAACTATTGCGCCATCCGTTACTTTTCAGTGGCTTCTGGTATAAGTCCACCTAATTATGGAAGGCAGGCCTATTGGTTTGATCACAATAGACTAAATCCACAACGGGGTGCACACAGGAAAAAAAGGAGGTCTGTACATCCAGTCTGTCAGGAAAAACGATCAAGTAAGAATCGAAATGATGGAAGCGAATATGCGAATCCCAGGTTCTTGTTGTAAAGAAGATGAAGACCCGATCTCTGGGACAGTGGGTTTATTAGTCTGAGCTTTCGGTCTCGTACAGGAGGCCATCGTCAGAGACTGTGAGAAGGCAACATCAAATGAGTGATTTTTGTAGTCACGCCATGAAGGGGGGGGGAGATATGAGTGCAGAGGGTGGTATTCGCGATAAGTTGCGTCCCACGCCGTCTCACGGTGGCGTGACTGCGTGCACCCTTGGCTGAAAATTGGGTCTCGCCCCTTGGCCGCGGGAACGGAGCGCGTGATAGCAGGGGGGTATATCAACGTGCCTGTTGATAGCGTTGGTGTCAGACACCCAGACCTTTAACAGTTCTCGTCCTGTCTTATTGCTGGCCCGCGCCACTGTCCGCGTGCTCGCAAAGTTGAATTCGTGGCCTTCCTCCAGGGTGTGAGTGGCGACCTGAGACAACGGGTCGCCTCTCCGGACCGCCCGTTTGTGCTCCGTTATTCGTGAGCTAAGTCGTCGTCCGGTTTGTCCAGTGTAGTGGCGAGGGCAGTCCCGACATGGGATCTGATAGACGACGCCCGATTGTTCACCCACGTCTAGGCGATCCTTCACTTGCATGATTTTGCTGCGCATGGTCGCTGTCGAACTAATTTTTGACACCGAGTGCCTGTTCGAGATCGATATCGGCGGCGATTATGGGTTCTTTTACTCGGAGGTTTTACTTCTGGACTAACCGTTTGCTTTAAGAAATGCATTTTGGCATAATCCTGTCTAATTCTCACCACATGATGTGTTGCAGAATCTTGTGTTGCGTGAAACCCCCTGCCTGCCATCTGTGTCTAAACGAACTCATATAGTTGGAAAC